AAGCTGAGCCCAATCGCAACTGTCTCGGTCTCGAGCTCAGGAGCTGTAGCGATAGTCCATGAAGGAAGGCTTTGCTTCGAAAGAGGAGGTGGAAGATCACCTGTAGAACCTGTTTTGGAGAACATGTTGGAAAAGGCGCTCCACTTTGTTACGTCGAGCAACGTGTATGGCTAAGATGGTGGAATGTGCAACTGATCCTCCTTTGGCTGCTTTTCAGAAGCTGTGTCCAAGGACCTGCAAGCTGTTGAATAATCAAAATTTTATGGCTAAGGCTTCCTTTTTGGCGGTAGTGGCGAGTTTGTCATCGGAGGGAGCAATTGCACCTCAGAGCTTGGAATCCTTGAGGCAAAGCATCCATGAACACCTTGGGAGCACAGATTGGATGATGCGAAAGGCAGCAACTGATATCACAGATGCAATTACAGACTACTCAGCTACAGCAACAATTGGGTTTGCAACAACAGCCCAATCAATTACACCAAAATATGCAGCCAAGGATTCACGCATCAAGCTTGGAGTTTTCAACAACAAAGCTTCGTGTTATTCGAGCAGTTGCTGTCCTTGGAGGTTTTCTTCAAAATTTTCTCTTCACGTGTTTCGTGTGGTATAACAATTTCGCTATATGTTTTTTGCAATTATGTGGGAGGACTGTGCTGTGGGTTTACTGTTTGCTTTACTTCAATTTTAGGTGGCAGTTCTGGTGTCCTTCAAGAAGTACTATCCACGACTAAATCGTTGACTAAGGAGCTCTATCAGTTGACATCCATAGCATTTTTGCTTGCTTGCTATTTGGTGATGAGCTGGGTTCATTTGTTGCTGGAATGATGATATCAACCTCTAATTTGAATCAGCATACACTTGAACAAGTTGAGCAAATTCGTAATTGCTTTGTTTGCTCTCTTCCTGGCTAGTATTGGGGATGTTGATTCATGTGCATTTCCTTTGGAATCACGTTGATATATTGTTAGCAGCTGTAATATTAGTGATTGTTATTAAAACCATGGTAGTTGCTGCAGTTGTTAAGGGATTTAGATACAGCAACAAAACTTCACTTCTTGTTGGGATGCCTTGGCCCATTCGGGGCTGCAGCTTTGTTTTCTGGTTTGCATCGCTACTATAACATGAGGTTCCTTTGGATGTCCTCTTGTAAACTAACTCATCAAGGTTGTCAGGAGACTGTCCATGTTACGCCTCGCCTAGTGGTTGAAGTGACTAGGTTTGCTGTTGAGAAAGAGATGGTTGACTTTGTTGAAACATCATACATGTATCGGTGTCTTAAAGGGTCAAGAATCGATGCACTTAATTCAATCACCATCTCATAAGCAAAGGTGGTGCAAGAAGATGTTCATTTGTTCTCGTGTTGGATACCAAGTAAGTTTAAACTGTTTCACAGGAAATTTTGATTTGTCAAGCATCTTTTAAATAACTCTTGAAGATAAAAAGATTTTAAAAAAAATATTTTTGAGGAAAAGTTGAAAGTATCAATTTTTCTCGAAAATAAAAGTTTTCAAAAAATATTTTTGGAGAAAAGTTGAAAGTATCAATTTTCTTTGAAAATCAAAGTTTTCAAAAAAATATTTTTTGGAAAAAGTTGAAAGTATCAATTTTCCTTAAAAATAAAATTTCGAAAAAAATGTTTTTGAGGAAAAGTTGAAAGTATCAATTTTCCTTGAAAATCAAAATTTTCAAAAAATATTTTTGGGGAAAAATTGAAAGTATCAATTTTCCTTAAAAATAAATTTTCTAAAAAGGGATTTTTGAGGAAAAGTTGAAAGTATCAATTTTTCTTGGAAATCAAAGTTTCAAAAAAAATATATTTTGAGGAAAAGTTGGAAGTATCAATTTTCTTTAAAAATAAATTTTCAAAAAATATTTTTTGAGGAAAAGTTGAAAGTATCAATTTCCCTACACAAGAACAATCATTCTTTCCTTCCTTTCTATTTGACTTTGATTTTGATTTTTCTTAACTAATCCGACGATGGAGCTCTTGCAAGTGAAACAGTAGTTTTTCTTGTATACTCTTGAGGTGAGGAAATTTTCTCAACTTTCTGCTAAAAGTATTAGAGTCAATTGAGAAAAATTTTCAATAATTAATTACTTGGTAAAATTTTAAGGCTTTTGGATAACACAAATTTAAGCTGGTACCATCTTTTGATGGGCGTTGTGAGGGTGCTATAACCTTCCTCACACGTAATCGAACTCCCGAACCCTGTTCTGGTTAGCAGACCTGAACTTATTCTTTTAGGGACCCTTAAGCTTAGGTGTCCCCTGAAAGGACAAATTCTTTAGGTGGTCAATCGCACCTAGATAAAAAAAAGATTGGTGGCGACTCCCTAAAAGTTAATGTCTAGCGATAGATCCTCGGATCTAGACGTTATGACAATTATTATTGTTATTATTATAAACAAATAATAAACGAATGAATTTTAAACAAACCTTAAATAAGTTTATTCGTGAACATAAATGAACCAAATGAACTTCTATCTATGTTTCATTCGTTTAAAAAATCTTACATATTCATAAATAGTTCATTAAAAACTTTATTCATTTACACCTTTAATAAAGATTGAGCGTTTATAAGGCCCAAATTTTGTTAGCAAAAATTCATAGTGTTATTAACACATGTTTAATAAACAAAAGAGGATAATAATACAATAATATATATAAGCAATAAAAAATTCTCCCAGTCAATAATTTTGTTTCTCTCTAGACTCAATGTTAATTATAAGTTATTTTGGATTAAGTTTTATTTGCAATTCGATTGATAATTTTGAGTGTACATTTTTTAATGTACGATTAATACAATATGGCATATTTTCTATGACTTATATAATAAAACAATTTATTATTTTTAATTTTATAAGAATACAATATTATATATATATATATATATAAATTATCTCTTTCTTTCTATTTCATGTTTTTGGTAGATTTTGTCCCATTAGACTACCATCAACTTCGGCGGCCTAGCATTCCTTTTTAATAAATCCAAAGTTTGAATAATTGAGAGAATGCATTGTGATCACTGATCAAGATGATTTACGATTCTTCTATTATTTCACAAGAACAAAAACAACATCGGAAAGGATAACTCTTTTCGTCGCGGCCACTCATGATGTTCATTCATTAGTGATTGATGTTAACAAAAATTGGATAAAAAACTACAATTAATTATATTAAAGGCACTATTCTACTAATTAACTATATCTTAAGCATACAATATTTTGTCAATTTTTGGAACTAGTTTATGGAATTATGATTTGAGAATTATTCAATTTTTTAACCGGTTACTTATGAATTTAAAAAAAAAAAAATTATACTTGATTTAGTATAAACTCATTATTTTTGGTTATTACCTTCATTAATTAAGTCACCTAGTCCATATAATAGACCTTAGTTTCCAAAAATTCCTAAACATATATTATTTTTATCCTATTTATTAGCAGGATGCAGGATCTGCCACCACTCCAAGAGCTGCTCATCCATGATTGTCAGCAGCTAACAACAAGATTTATTAAAATCAATTTGCATTTTGCTCACCGTGAAGCTAACGAAACAGCAGACCTCCCTGTAGTGGGAGCAGCTACTAACAAAACTGCATTACTTTACAGCCAAGAGGCTTATTTTCTCTCACCTTTGTTATATTTTGATAAATGTAATAGTGCTACTTATAAACTTGTGAAGTCTGTTATTTTTTGTCAAAATAATATCATGTCATTTTAGTCCCAATAAAGTTAAATTTGCGAAAGCTTCACAATATCATTCCATATATGATACCTTCCAAAATAAAAACAGAAATGAGAAATCTCTATCTATCTAAGAAAAACCCTGAAATCTATCATGTATAAAGTTTAGGATTAGTTAAGGGTGGAATTTGACGTGGTAAACTATTCAAAATCTCATATTTGACTTGGATTTTATAGAGTTCATATTTCATAGGCTAATGGATTAAAAAAAACCCTAAATTATTTTAGTTTTTAAATAAATTCATATATTTTTATTGTATTTAATATACTTTTATTTTTTAATTTATATGTAAAATTTTTATTTTAAATAAAAAATTTATTTATATTAAAAATTATAAATTAAAGTTAAAAACTTATTTGATATAAATTAAAATTTAAGTTTTTATTTAAATATAAATTTAAAATAAAAAACTTACTTACGTACTATAAAAATATAAGAATTTATCTAAATAAATTAATAAAATCAAGAGATTTTTTTATTATTTTAACATCCATAGATTTGACTAAGAAAATAGTAGGATTAGACTGGACACAACTAAGCACATAATTAGAACAAGTCAATAAATATTAGGTATTATCTCGTTAATAATGTTTATTTTATTTTCTGTCAAAGTTTTGATCGATAAGCATTTTAGAAAAAAAAAAAATTAACCAATAGTAAATTCAAAATAAAAATAAATTAAAGTGAAAAATCCTTATCACAAACGTCAAACTAAGACAATATTAATAATAAAAAAAAATAAGAAATACTATTATTTTTCTTTATAAGAACTATCTAAATATATGTTAAAAAGTAAACTTTTTAATTATTAGTCAAATCAGTTAAAGTATAGTGGTTAGCATAATTCACTAATAAATTAATAATCCAAAAATCTTATTCACATATAAGTATTAAGTAAATTAATTTATTTCTACTTTAAGAATATTAATGTATTTTTTTATAAGGAAAATCAAATTTGAAAAAAAAAATTACATGTATTAATATTTAAATTTAAATTTTATTAAATTTTATTTATTAATGATTATATAAATTGACGGAGTTAAGTTCCATATTTGTATTATTAATCACTTCATTTGTCAAAGACTATATTGGAAAGTTAAGGTTAAAATTCATGGAGTATAAAAACCACACTAGTAGTAATTAATTAAATGAAGAGGGAGTTTTTTTTTTTTTTTTTTTTTGGCACAAGAAGATGGAGTTTTTAACCCTCACGTCCTCCAACTTCTTAACAGTAAAAAAATCCAACACATTAACTCGCCTTGATTACAGGCTTTAACTTTTTCCATTTCTACTATTAAAATCACAACTCAAAGCTCACCTTCTTTGTCTGTCTCTGTCTCTCTTCTTTCTCTTTCTCTCAAGCTCACAACTTTGCTTTCATTCTGAGCAGTTCACCGGCGACGATCTCGCCGGGATCTGGTCGGGAAATCTCGCCGGGAATAAACAAGAACCTCATTTGAGCTTTTCTCTTTTAGCATTAAAGAAACATACTTTGTTGGTCATTTTAAAACACAATTTTCTTGGGAAGAGTTAGTGGAGATTTAGTTGAAAATGAATCATATAAATTCTGGATTTAGCTTATTTTGATAATGCATGTGGAGAGTTTATGAGGTTTCAGCCATAAAGTAAAGATTTTAAATCTGGGTTTATTTTGGTTTATGGCTTTAGTTTTGGTTTTGGTAAGCTTTGTGGAGCTGTTGTTGTTTCTAGGTGACAAATAGTTTTGGTGTTTCTATGAAGCTGAAGGCTCTGATTTTTTTAATTCAAAAGTTTTGGTAATCAAGGGAAGTTTAGACTTTCAAGGAGCTGGTGATTAAGTTAATTAAAGTTTTCAGGAATCACCTTATCTTGTGTGGAAAAAAAAAAATCTTTTTTTGCCTGTTTTATACTGGTAGAATAACCAAAGTTTCATAGGTTTTTGCATTATATTGGTTAAGAGCTTGAACTTTTGGCTCAAGTGGGCAATTTTTTACTGAATTGTTATTGTTGTTGAGTTGAGATTGAGGTGAAAGGAGGGGGAATGGTAAAGTACAATGTGTAGAGTAGAAGAGACAAGTGGAAAGAGTGATTATAGGAAACAGTGGGAAATGAAAATGAAGATTTTTGGAGAAGGAAAAGTGGAAAAGTTAAAGAATTCAATGGTTACAAGGTCTAGAATGAAGCTATGGATGATGAGGGCAATAACTACAATTTTTTTATGGTCTTGTTTTGCTCAATTGATGACTTTAGGAGAGATGTTTGGCCCAAGAATGTTGAAAGGTTGGCCTTCTTGCTTCAGTCATTCTGAGTTGCCTTTTGTTGCTGAATTGTCTTCTATTCCACCAAAAGTCATTCTTCCACCAAAAAGTAAGTACTTGGTTTCTTGTTTCAATTGTAATTTCTAATGACGAAATTCCATTCCCATATCATACGATTATAATTTGCAATTTCTTGAATATGCCATAATTTATTTCAATAATTTTCATTTGTTCCATATTTGCTGTTTCTTTGTAAGATTCCCTTTCTCGTGAACAGGCAATTTTCTGTCAAAGATGCCTTTAAGTCCTTAACCAAGACTTTGCTTTTTATGGGGCTTTCTGCCTTTCGTTTTGATGAAAAGTAGAGAATCCTAAATTATTTTGTCTATGATTACTGTTCTAATTTGCTGTTTTTTGCAGGATTGTATAAGAATAATGGTTATCTTATGGTTTCCTGCAATGGAGGACTTAACCAAATGCGAGCAGCTGTGAGTGATTAGCTGGTTTTTATCGCTAAATCAATTCAGATATTTTTTCTCACTCTTTGTTTCTGTTTCGCTCACGACTTTCCTGTTCACTTTTTCACTTTTCTTGTCATTTTTGGCTTCTGTTTTGCAGATTTGTGACATGGTTGCCATTGCCAGATACTTAAATGTTACTCTTATTGTCCCAGAACTAGATAAAACCTCATTCTGGAACGATCCTAGGTATGTACAATTGTTTTTTAATCTTTTTTTTTTTGGAAATTAAATTATTAGAGTTATCCCCTGCAATTCAAAGTGGTCCTCTAATTGATTGTTCATTACCAGTGAGTTTCAGGACATTTTTTATGTTGATCACTTCATTTCTTCGTTGAGAGATGAGGTTCGCATATTGAAGGAACTACCGCCTCGAGTTCAGCAAAGAGTTGATCAAGGGATGTTCCTCTCTATGCAGCCCATTAGTTGGTCTGATATTTCTTATTATGCTCATCAGGTTTAACCTTCAGACTAAAGATGGAATAAGCTTTTTTTTTTTTTCTCTGTATTTCTTATATTTGATCTAATCCAACTAATTTCTGAAGTATTTGCTGGTAGATTCTACCTCTTGTGCAAAAGCACAAAGTTGTACGGTTGAATAAAACCGATGCTCGGCTTGCTAATAATGAACTACCAGTCGAGATTCAGAAGTTGCGCTGCCATGTAAATTTTAATGCGCTGAGATTTACTTCCCAAATAGAGGAATTGGGTAGAAGGGTTGTCAAGATTTTAAGGGAAAAGGGCCCGTTTCTTGTCCTTCATCTTAGATATGAAATGGACATGTTGGCCTTTTCTGGCTGCACTCATGGTTGCAACAGTGAGGAAGAGGAAGAACTTACAAGGATGAGGTAAGCCTGTTCGTTTCTTCAATAAGTGCGTATAACTTTAGAAAAAAAAACTAATTTTCTCCATTATTGTCCTTTCACAAATTATGGCAAATCAAATACCACATTAGGTATGCTTATCCCTGGTGGAAGGAAAAAGTTATAAATTCAGAAATGAAAAGGAAAGAAGGTTTGTGTCCTTTGACACCTGAAGAAACTGCTCTAGTATTAAAAGCACTGGGTATTGATCGGAATGTCCAAATTTACATCGCTGCTGGGGAAATATATGGTGGCGAGACAAGGATGGCTCCTTTGGCTGAAGCGTTTCCTAATTTGGTCAGTAAAATTTAGAAGCACCCTTTTGACATCAACATATATATATTTGCACTAACAATTTGCTTTTCTTTACAAAACAGGTCAGAAAGGAGACTCTGCTAGTTCCATCAGACTTGAAATTCTTCCAAAATCACTCATCCCAAATGGCGGCATTGGATTATCTAGTCTCCTTAGAAAGCGATATATTTGTTCCTACATATGATGGAAATATGGCCAAAGTTGTCGAAGGCCATCGGAGGTAACACATCCACACTAATAGCCTAATATTGTACTTAGCATTCTCTTCTTAACTTTATTTTATAACCTTTCTCCATAGACCCAATAGCATTCTCTTAACTTTATTTTATAACCTTTCTCCATAGATTCAATTGATTAAAAATGAGTAGTTTTCTGCTAGCTCATGGTTTAGCAATTGCCTTGTTCAATTGATCTGATTTATATCATATTGTCTGTTATCGCATGGCGCATGCCAGATTCTTGGGATTCAAGAAAACTATCGTACTGGACAGAAAGCTTCTGGTCAATTTAATAGATCAATACCAGAATGGATCGCTAAGCTGGGATGAGTTCTCCTCAACAGTGAAGGAAGTTCATGCCGATAGAATGGGAAGCCCTAAAAAACGAATTGTCATTCCAGATAGACCGAAGGAAGAAGATTATTTTTATTCTAATCCACATGAATGTCTGCAACTGTTAGATGAACCTTGGAGAAGTACATGATCCAAATCATGCCGGTTAGATGATTATCTTCAATTATACTCTGTACTTTTGCATATTTATCAGACATCGGTCTACTTGTGCTCACATAGGTTTTGGGGCAATTTAGGCCTTGTGCCTGGATTTCTTCAGAACCACCCCAAGAATATTTATAATTGTTCACATTCTTGAATAACATCGATGTATAAGTGAGAAAAAAAAAAAAAAAAAGTTAGCCATTCCAATTTGCAGGCTTAAGATCAGTTTAGCAGAACTTTAAACTTTTTTTTTTTTCATTTTTTTGAGAGTTAGCATCAAATTTCTTGCGGGAAATTCAAAATATTATATATTCTTTTAGGATTTTCTGACCACCTGTAATGGTGGATATTAATTTCTAACAAATGCAAGCCAAATTCCATGTGCTCCAAGGAATGAACAACGGCTTAGCCATTTTATTACAATTTTCCTTCTTTCTAAAGAAAGAGCATTGGTGGCGCCCATGGAGGAGTGATGGTTCTGCTTGGGGAGACAAAGAAAAAAGAAATATCTCCTCTCTATTTGTTCTCTAACAGCTGTTGAATTATGCCAAATATATATATATATATATATATATATATATTGCCATTTCAAAGTTGGTGGTACTCCAAATCATGTCTTTCCATCATTAGTTAGTTGTTAGTAAATTGATCATACATGTATTATATTTTGTTCAATACTTGTACTAAACCCCATTTTTAGCAAGATTTAAGTAAAATTTTTGCTAAAGATATAATAAATAATTCAAAAAATGGTCATGCCATTTCAGGAGTTGTTAGGAGACAACCATGTCATTCCTGGTTTTTTAAATAATTTGAATATATATATTAACTCTAATAATTAAGCGTGAAAAACAGATCGGCTCAATTTTAAAAAATTGAAATCATGTTCGAGTTTGTTGATACTGTTTTAAATTTTTTTCATCATTTTTTTAATTAATTTTGAATAATAATTTTACAATAATTTTCACCAAATAAAACTCATCTTATAATTTTTTTACCAATGTCATATTTATCATTTTTTAAAAATATAAATAAAAAATTTACATATATTATATATAATATATTTAAAAATCAATTGATTCAGTTGTTTGGTTATTAATTTTAGAAATCGAAAATCAATAACTAAATTTTTTTATTTAATAGATATTATTGACACTGAACAAATAAAATCAATTTAACTAAATTCACCCATTTTTTATAAATCAAATCGGTTGAAATTAACTTATACTCACACTTGCTAATAATATTTGGTTTTTTAAAATATAAAATCACAAAAAATAGACACAATAATTATAAAATAATTGAAATATGCACATACTAATTTGTATTTTTAATGAGTCAACTTAAAACTCATGTCTCTCCCTTGCAATTTAGTTGCCAAAACATAATTACATATGGATTTTATTTCAATGAATAGTACATTGTTCTAATCCAATCTCCCAATATGTACATAAAAAATATTATATACCCCATAAGTCCATAAAGATTGTCCACTATGTACTCATACACCAAGAAATTGAATTATTTTAATTCAAAAACCATCATTCAAATTCCCTAAAGTCTCCTCTTCAACATAAATAAAACTTTTGGACTTTTGGTTGGTTGGGGAGAGAAGCAAATAACAAAATGGGTATGAGTTGAGAAAATAAAGGGAGTGAGTGACCCAAGAGAGAAGTTGAGAGCTGACCCAAGAAAAATTGCCATTGTGGGGTGATCCAAGAAATCACCCACTTTCCACTAAGAAGCCAGTAAATTTTAGTCATAGATGGATAGCTAGTAAAAATGGCTCCACTGAAGAAAGATGTGCGGCAGTTCTATCTCCTCAAAGTAGCTTTCTCTCACGACAAAAACACACAACCCATGCCAATAAGGTCACCTACTTTTAAAATGGTTTCAAAGATTTCATGAATATCCAACAACCCAAGAACAAAAAAATTTGTTTAAATGCATTTTTCTTGCGTATGATATAGTTCCTATCTTGGGCTTTAAGCCCCTATATCTTGATTCTTTTCCAAGGTTAAAATGATGGAAAAGATAAGATGAAAATGATTCTTTCCTCGGTTAATCACTTTAATTTGATTCAGTTTAATAAATTATTTCAATTAAAGTCCGTTAGTCCAATTTTCGTATTTTTTAAAACTGAACCGACCAAATACTATCCTTCTTTTTAAATCTTCTAAATAAAATCTTGAATTTAACCATTAACAGTGTCCCGTTAGAAACTTGATTATCTTTTTCTACTGTCGCGGCTGCTCGAAGAAACCTTGAACAGATTGCACCTTGAATGCTGATCAAGCACGGGATAAAATAAGTGAACGTAACAAAGGATGCAGAAGAATTTAGGGATCCTCATTCGGGTTTTCCTCTAGTTTCCTCGTCTTTCTCACTAAACTTGTATCAAAGGAAAACGATTTTCAAGCAAAAACATTCTTAAACCATTATTACTCCCAAAGCTGCATCTCCTCGTTTTAGGAGGTAATTTGCTTGATAAATGAGCCGAATTGACTACTACTCCCTGTGGTAAACAAAGGGTAATAATTTTTACGAGGTCAGCCATTGGCAGACTGGCAGTCCAATAGCAAACCATTAGTTTTGCGATCCAAACCTTGGGAATCTTTTTTCCAGCTCACCCAAACAATATTTGTCCAACTGAAAATAGAACAGCAGGATAATCATGAAGACACTGTTCCCTTGTACAATCCAAAATACTAAATCGTGATTCATGCAATTACAAAATGGAAACCAGTACATCCACCGCGAAATACTCCTGACGAGACACTTGGTAATAGGAAGACAAATATCATTCAAAAATAAATAAATAAAGAAATAAAACCGCACCAGACATGAAAATGTTACCAAAAGCTTTCACATGGAAATGTGAGATACTATGATCAAATAATAGCAGCAATAATACAGCAAATTCTCATATATGCTTGGAAGCTAGGTCTCAAAGAAGTACAAATAAAAAGAATATATAACAATTTTTCCCCCAGGAGAATCGATGCGACCTGGCAACCAGGAAGCATAACCATTTACATTTGGTATAAAAGACCTAATAATCTGTGGACCATGGCATGGCAAAAATGATAGGATGAAAAAGAAACTGAATGAAGAATATGGGAAAAAAAGACTAGAATTGTACGCTAGCTTTTTTCTGTTCTCCGCCTCTTATGAGCCTAATCAGACTCCTCTGTGTAGCTATGAACTCCAGTTTGTGCTATGACTTGATTGGTTGTGAATTGGATTTCTTTCTCCTAGATGACAGGTGAAAAAGAAAAAGAAAGGTAAGATAAAGAAATCAAATAGTTACATGTCTCATGGCTGGCTTCTAAACCATGCTAAAGAGGGATTGAAATACTCGAAAGGATTATCACTAAACCTTAGAACTGGATGCCATAGAAGTCACTCCACTAGCTACTCGTTTACCAACATCAATTTGCACGGAGATGCTCGCCTGTGACATGTCCATACCTGAAGACTGCAACGCTTGGGTCAGAGAGTTCAGTATCCTGTTCAGCACAAACACCAGTCTCTTTAATAGCATGTATAAAAACCTATCTTGAATTGCCAAGTCATAGAAATACCATGATTAAACAGATAACGTCATAAACCCCAAATCTGCGAAATAAATTGTCAGAAAACTGACTCACAATACATCATGTCAGGTCAAAATCCAAGAAATTACAAGTAAAAGCTTTAACAATAAACAAAGATTAGTCACCATAATATACAAACTATGACTAAATATAGGCAATAAGTAAACCTCTGAAACACCAGCCCATCATCTCAGAGAAGACATGAGTATCTAAGATCAATGCTGTAAACATGAACAGTAGGTATCATGATTCATTGTCCTGCATATTCATCAATATAATGGTCAGATAGATATCAATTTTCAATGAGTTTAAAGCAGGCAATCTTCAATTGCCACTGTTTCCACATGTGATATGATAGGTCAAGCTAAGTTATAATAACAAGAACAAGAAAGTAATACACTTCATTACCTATGAGAAATAATGACAATTAGAGCAACCAAATTGTAAGAAATACATGGCAGGTGCTCACCCTTGAGAGTAGGCACTAGAAAACCCTACTGATTCAACTCTGGTAGTCAAGTCATCCCGTTCATTTGCTGAATTGTTTGGAACAGCACTCTCAGTTAGACACTCTCTACTTTGCCATGATTGGAATTGGGGTTGATACACCATGTTCATAGAACCACTACCACTTCCATGATTAGCAAATGTGTTTGATTGTGTCTGCATGTTAATCATAGAAGTAGCTGACACAGGGGGATGGTCCAGTGCTTTAAAAACTGCAGCATTACCCAAGTCAGTCTCAATTGAGTTCTGCATATTCGCAAGCATTGATGGAATGACAACATCATCCTCACAACTAGATCCATTCTTCATAACTTGAGAATGGTCAATAAAACTTTCTGCAAGCCCATGATTATTTCTCTGTTCAAAAAATGAAAAGAAAATTAGTAAGCTTCCTCTTGAATTACAGAAAATAATGTGATAAAAAATTTATAGAAGGTCCCAGTCCTAACTCACTAACACAACAAGTTTACAACAAAGAGAAATAACCTTAACCCTATTGCTGTGTATTTTCCGCTTGCTATAAACATAGGGTACATTTATTGGACACAAGTATCCAATATACGCTTGGCAACAATTGTCCCCAACAAAATTCAATAGTATGCAGTAGAACTTGAACACCCATGCTTTTAGCATTTTATATCTCCAATAATGTAGCATCAGAAACATTAATCTCAAACATTAACATATATTAACACATCAATGTAAAAGCAGTAAAAATTCATGCAATATAACCACCATGGCTTGCACATACAGAGGCCAGACATCAAGCCAAAAAAAAATAATAATTACCCATGGAATCAGTTTTGTTGGCTCCTGGCTCCAAGCTTGGTATGATCCCTCATACATTTGCAACTTTTCCTGTAAAAACTGAATGTACTCTATGACCTACACACAGAAGTAAATGATATTCAAAATTTATTCAAGCAGAACAAATAATAAATATAAATGGTTACATTTATGCATGCATATGCATATGTAATGTACACATATAGTACAGAAAAGAACATCTTAATTGGTAACCTCTAACAGAAAAGAAGCCTTGTCTCTCTTCTGATCATTTTGAGGAATAAGATCTCTCAAAGTCTGAAACCTGCCACATAAAAATAATCAATTTCAAATGTGAGAACAATCTAGCTTCTAGTTGTAACAAACAATAGGATTACTAATAGGTTGCAAAAGATTTTCCAACCAGGTGACCTGCTCAAATCATCCAAAACCCAAGAAATATTTACTCAAAATAATCCAAATGTAAAATGGTTCCAAGTGAGCAAGCCCAAACTGCCATCCTAACCCAAAACTCAGATCTATGTTACTTGGACTTGAGGGCAAGTGTCGGACATGGACACATGTCTGGAACAGGTACAATCAATTTTTTTCTAAGTCTTCTGTGGGAAAACACTTAACTGATTGTAATATTATAATCTGTATATTATATTTGTATCTCTAAAATTAAGTATTTGTATCCCTAAAATTAAAGACAAAAAATTAGGATAGACAATCTCTCAATTATAAGATCAGTTTTATGAATATTTAGTTTTCCAGTTTACCCACTAGTTAGTTGTATATAAATCTAAGGTGCTTGTATAATCCTTAATGTGCAAGTTTTCAATATACATTCAATTTTATTCTTAGTTTTCCAGATAATTTTATTTCTTAGTTTTTCCACATGGTATCAAAGCTTTAAACTCTTATTGGGAAGAAAATTTTTTTTAGCCTTCATTCCTAAATTCTATTTCAGGCCTTCATAGCCAAATCTTGTTAACTCTTTTAGTCTTATTTTTTCTTTCTTTGGCTTTCATTGCCTAGAATCGTCTCTAGTTAAACTTTTACTATCAAGACTCATTTCAATCCTGAGAAAGATACTCATGCCAGAAATAGCAAAATCTAGCACTAATACCCGATTTGAGGAAGTGACAACTAGTAAAACCACCAAAATACTACAGAAGTCTCAGGAACAAAAGGAGTTTGACAGAGAAAAGATTGAGAAACTAAGAAGTCTATTGAAAACTCTTGAAAAGCCTACTAGGGTATGTTCTTTGGGTAAGGTCTCTAGTTTAGGTAAAGCTTCTACTTCTCATAGATTAAATGTCTCAATTAAGCCTATTACGAGTTCTTGCATCATTGACTCAGGAGCCACAAACCATATGACACATTCCTCACTGAAGTTTAGTACATATACCCTGTGTCCTAATAATAAGAAAATTGTTGTTGCAAATGGTTCACTTACTACAATGGCAAGGTTAGAAGATATTTAAATTAATCTCTTGTTTGTTCTTAAAATTGTTTTTCATGTTCCTGGATTGACTACTAATCTAATATCTATACAAAAACTTACTAGAGACATAAACTACAAAGTGACTTTTTATACCTCCTATTGTGAATTTCAGGATCAGAGTTCGGGGAAAAGGATTAGATTTGCTAAGGAGAAGGATGGACTATACTATCTTGAGACATCAAACAACACAAGTAATATTAAGAATAGCTTACCTTTGACATTTCTTTTTGAAAAATCTCCCAATAAAGACAAAATTTAACTTTATCATTTTCATCTTGGACATCCTTCTTTTGGAACTTTGAAAAACATGTTTCCTTCTTTGTTCAAAGGATTAAATGTCGAAAATTTTCATTGTGATGTTTGTGAACTTACAAAGTATAGACGTGTGTCTTTTCCAGTTAGCAATAAAAAAAGTTCTACTTCTTTTTACTTGATTCATAATGACATATGAGGTCCCTCTACAATTACTCATATTTCTGATGCAAGGAGGTTTGTTTCTTTCATAGATGATTGTACCAAGGTATCTTAGATATTTTTACTTAAATCCAAATCAAATATGAATAGTGTGTTTTTAAACTTCCAAAACATGATCCAAAATCAATTTGGAGTTAAAATCAAGAGATTTAAGTCTGATAATGCAAGGGATTTTTTCAACTAGAGTTTATCTACCTATTTCCAAAAGGAGGGGATTACCCATGAGTCATTTTGTGTTAATCCTTCACAGCATAATGGAGTGACAGAGAGAAAAAATAGCCATTTACTAGCCACAACCCAAGCTTTACTTTTTCAAGTAAACATAACCAAATCCTACTAGGGGGAAGCTGTTCTCACTGCCACACACATTATAAATAGGTTACCTTCAAGGGTCTTGAGATTTAAAACTCCTATGGAACTACTCTCACAATTCTATCCCAACTTTAATACCACAAACAACCTCACACCTAGGATATTTGGTTGTACATCATTTGTTCATGTTCACAATCATAATAGAGGAAAGTTGGATCTTAGAGCAATTAAGTACATTTTTGTGGGATATTCATCAACTCAAAAAGGATATAAGTGCTATCATTCTCCTACAAAAAAATTATATGTGTTTGCAGATGTCACTTTTGAATAAAGTAAACCATTTTTTACTCAACCTTATCTTCATGGGAAGGCTTCATTTATGGAAAGATAAGGATAAAGACTTCTTTTTGCTTGACTTGTCCTCCTCGTCAACATTTTCACCCATTAATCCTTCTGAGTCTAAACCTATTTCTTCTGAGTCCAAGTCAAACACTGAATTTGAGTCTGAACCCATTCCAAACACAAAAGATGTGACAAAAGATAATATTGTTCTTAATTCTATGAAGGAATTACAAGTGTAGTCAAGAATGAAAGTTCCAGATCTTGAATTAGTGCAAGTCCAAGAACCTGATCCTAACTCTGAAAATGAGGTAATTACAGTCTTTGACTCTATTTCTCAAAATGAGCATGAATCTCCTAAAACTATAACTAGCAATTATGATATGCTTATTGCCATTAAGAAAGGAACCAAAGAATGTAATAAGCGTCCACTATACCCAATCTCTAATTTTATTCATTTGAAAAATTCTCACCATCCCACAAAATTTTCCTAGTGAGCCTAAACACTATTTCTATTCCAACTACATTATCCGAGGCATAATCCGATGAGAAATGGAGGCAAGCCATGAAAATAGAAATTGAGGGCCAAAGGAAAAAATCAAATTAGGTATAAATGGGTTTTTACTATAAAAAACAAGGCGGATGGCACTGTTGAAATGTACAAAGCCCAGTTGGTGGCTAAGGGCTACACTCAAACTTATGGAGTGAATTATCAGAAAACTTTTGCTCCAGTTGCCAAGATGAATACATTTAGGATTTTGTTATCATTGACTACAAATTACAATTGGCAAGTTCAACAATTTTATGTAAAGAATGCTTTTCTACATGGTGATTTGGAAGAAGAAATATATATGAAAGTTCCACTGGGATTTGGAAATCATCTAGAAGCAAAGTATACAAGCTGAAAAAGGCTTTATATGGCCTTAAACAATCTCTTAGGGCTTGGTTTGGGAGATTTGCCAAAGTGATGCTAGCTATGAGATATAAGTAGAGTCAAGGGAATCACACATTGTTTATCAAGCACTTTGATTCAGGGAGAGTCACAATTCTATTACTGTATGTTGATGATATAATTGTAACCGAAAATTATGCGTTCATCCGAAATGAAAGTGCTCGGAGTACTATGCTGTCTTTCTCCGGATGGCAAAATCTCCGCTCATACTCTTTTCGAGAAATGGGAAAGCGTTTGGCTAGAGAATTTGAGATAAAAGACCTAGGAAGATTGAAGTAGCTCACTCACAACAAGGTATTTTCATCTCATTACAGAAATATGTGATGGATTTTTTGAAAGAAACTAGGAAGCTCGCATGTTAACCTGCAAATACCCCTACAGATCCTAATTATAAACTTAGAGAAACTAATGAAGATGCTGCTGTAGATAAAGAGATGTACCAGAGATTAGTTGGAAGACTCATTTATCTCTTACATACTATGACCTAATATAGCATATGCTGTGAGTGTAATAAGTCAATTTATGCATAGTCCTAAAGAAGTACACCTATAGTTATCTACTGTGTATTGCACTATTTGAAGGCCAATCCTGAGAGAGGTATCTTATTCAAAAGAAATTCGAAGCTAGTTCTAGAGGCATATACAAATGCGGATTATGCAGATTTAGTAACTGACAGAAGATCCACCTCAGGCTACTGCACTTTTCTAGGTAGTAATCTTATAACTTAGAATAGTAAAAAAAAGTATGTGGTGGCAAGATCAAGTGCCAAAGCAGAGTTCAGAGCAATAGCTCAAGGAATTTGTGAACTACTATGGTTAAAGATTATCCTAGAAGACTTGAAGATCAAGTGGGATGGACCAATGAGACACGATTGTGATAACAACTCTACAATAAGCATTGCACACAATCTTGTTCAACATGACAGGACAAAACACATTGAAGTAAACCGGCATTTCATAAAAGAGAAACTAGACGGTGGTTTGATTTGCACACCATCTGTATCAACCAAGGGTCAACTTATAGATATGTTGACTAAAGGTCTCAACAATGCAACATTTCAAGAAATTATTTCCAAGCTGGGAATGGAAAACACTTATTCACTAGCTTAAGGGGGAGTGTGGGAAAACACTTAGCTGGTTGTAATCTTGTAATCTGTATATTTATATTTGTATCTCTAGAATTTAAGGACAGAAAATTAAGATAGACAATCCCTCAATTATAGGATCAGTTTTATAAAGATTTAGTTTCCTAGTTTATCCACTAGTTAGTAATATATAAACCTAAGGTGCTTGTATAATTCTCAATTAGCAGTTTTTCAATATACATTCAGTTTTACTCTTAGTTTTCCATACAGTTTTATTTCTTAGTTTTTCGACATCTTCAAATATTTAGAGGGTCAAACCTCCATACCCATGTCGGTCAAATATGTATTAGACATGGATGTTCCAAGGAAATGAGGAGTCAAAGCAACATAAAGCTATACACCAACAAAGTAAATGTGGCATGAAGTTGACCCAAACCTAAACGACTTGCTGAAACCCAACATGAATTTACTCAAAGGGTTAAAATCCAAACTTGATAAATCAACTCTTACACGGTCAGAAAAGATAAAACCACAAAGAGCCAAAACTTGATCCGACCTGCTGAATTGTCAGCTCTAGATACATTCACTCGAACCGTCATTTATCAGATTTCATTATGGAAAACATTGTTTCTTTCATTAAATTTGCCATGATATATCAGATCCAATTCCTGCAGCTTGGCCTAATTCATACTGGTTCAGACTCTTTTACTTTTCAACTTAAAGAAATAATTTTTCCTATGATTTAATGGTCTGACTTGTTGTAACCAAAAAATTTCTTGATAAAAGATTGATTAGACAAGGAAAGCAGAACTGTTTCTATTCCTCTGGATACAATCCAAAGATCATTTCTACAAAAGCATCAAAAGTTTAAAGACAGCAAAATAATATTGAAAAAAGAAGGCATCAATTATTGTAACAATTTACAAGTTTCACCTAAGTTGAAACAGGATTCAAACCAACAACTTTAAATACCAGCTCAAAACATTCATAAGAATGCTTCAGATATATTCAAAGAATTCAAACTGATTATTGGCACTATTTTCATCAAAATATAACAGAGCTAACTTGAAACAAGCTTTCAGCAACCATTTTCTGATAATATCAAGTTGCCTCCAAGAAAATAACAATGCAATCACTAAAAAGTTTCATATATGCCAATGGCCTATAAGCAAATCGGCCGAACCTGAATATAAACCCACAGCACAATCTAAACTTAACTAGATAACAACATTCTCCGCGGTTTCATTCAATTAACAATATTATTACAATCAATTCCTCTTGTTATAACACTTCAAAAAATTTCTCGCATTCATAACTAATTCATCCGAACATTTTCATTTATGGCATTCAATTTAAACTTATACAGAAAATTAAACCCCAAAAAAATAGAAAAAAAATTACTTTTAAGAAATAGAAATTTTAAAGTTTTTACCTTTCATTAATCTTGCTTCTTCTACGCTGCTCAGTCTCTGAATGTTTAGACCGATTCGCAGTCGTCTTTTGGTCACTTCCTTTCCCTTCTACTTTCAGTGTTTCCCCTATTTAAAAAAAAAAAATCCGATTTTAATTTTAAAACAAAATATGAAAAATATTAACAATAATTACTCCAATTCTTTAAAAAATAAAAACCTTTATCTTCGTAATCATCATCGTCTTCTTCTTCTTGATGAAGCTGAGCTGTTGCAACAGATTTCACCATTTAAAAAAAATAATCTCTATAATATTTCTTAGAAAGAAAAAATAAAAGCAGGTGCGATGGGGCGGGAAATGGAGCTCCGAGAGAGAGGTTCCAATGAGTCAGGCGGGTCAGTTTTTGCAGAGAGAAAAAAGTAGGATCTCTTTGTCGCTTGCCCTAAGAAAGGGAGGAAAAGCGCATTTTTTAAAATTTCGGATTGATCGCTTCATTAATATTATATTTATTGTTAAAATTTCTTTTTTCAATTTCTAATTTATTCCTATCCTAATTTTAATATCATTTTGAATTCGCAACTTCTATAATCTGATTATTGTTTTGATTTTTTTTAATTTAAATAATATTGGTAGTGGTGGGCGCTACTGTGCACTTGTTTGGTGATGTTTAAGAAGAGGGGCACTTGATTTCTTTTAGTTAATTATAGTGTATGTTTTTTTAGTGAAGACTCTATTAGTATACTTTGTTTTTTACGCTTTTTCCTAAATGATTGGTTTTTTTAGTTTATCTTATAAGGAAAAACAAGATTAATTAAGATTTATTTTATTATTTCCTTGGATTCCTTATAAAAATAAAAAATTAAGTGTTCAAAATTTACTAATTTAATAAAATAAAGTTTTTGAAATAATCTTCAATCACAATAAATTGATTGGATATACCCGTTAATTTTAAATTTTATATTAATAAAATTTTGTGGTGTGTTATTGGTGATCTTCGCTTTTTAAAACTAATCAACCAATTAAGATTGGATAAAAATATTTAATTATAAATCAACTACACACCTTAACTAAAAAATATTTAAGTTTAATAGGTTATGTTTATGGGATTATATATATTTTTTATTGTGTTTACTTGCTGCAAAGAAATGTTTTTGTTGACTTTAAGGAATAGAGTGGCAGCTTTTTCCTTAGCACATGGTGATGAACAGTCGTTAAAGAATGTTTTTCCTTTTTTTTTTATTACCTTAATGGGAAGAATAAAATAATGCAGGACAATGGAGTTGCATTGTTTATTTTTACTTTCAAGTCAATAGTTTATATTTTTAGTATTCTAAAATCTTTTTTTTTTCTTCTCTAGTTCAAAAGATAATAAACAAGTTGAATTATGGGCAAAGTTTAGTTTTATGTTTAGCACCGCTTAAAAAATCATTAATGAAATTGTGCTGCTTTCACCTAATTAAAAATTTTAATTTGTTTAGACATGGTTATTAGGTATCAATTGTAGTCTTATTCATAAAAAAAATAAATTTTATTTTAATTTGAAAAAAATTAATTAATTAATTTAATTATTTTTTTAAGATGATGTCTAATAATTTTAAATTTTAATATTTGAAAATTTTTCTTCTATTTCAAGTTACGTTTTTTTATAAAAATTATTTTTTTTCAAAATGGGATGACTGATTGTATAAACCAATTTCTTCTAGGACCTCATGAGTTTCCTCAGTCTCCAACAGCTTTGTAATTATAATTAATAATAATTAAAATAAGTATATTAAAAGCTATCAATATGAAAAAGCGCTGGACGAGAGCCGAACCCTGACGTTGCAGGCGTAGACTTAGTCGTGGAATTGCGAATTTGCCACTTCCATATATGTATGTGTGATAGGATGGTGAAGAAGTGGCCAAAATGTACATTATTGAACAGCAGAAAAATGCTTAGCAGCAACCGTTGTGGACTCTAGGGCAGGGGCGCGCCCACTCAAATCTTAAAAATTGGATCTTTCCATTAGTAAAAGACTCCATAATTTTGAATAATTCTTGTAGTTTGCTTCTACTGTTCCTAAGAAAACAAGTAAAATGATTAGAAATAAATTCAAATAACAACTTTTTTTTTTGCTTTTTATTCCACTAAATATAAAAAAAAAATTTAATATGGATGTTTATGGTATTGGAATGTATATGAATGTATTGACAAAATAAAAAGAGTAATTGAGCATGTTAATGGTTCAAAATGTAAATATAAAATTTATCCTTTCACTTCACTTCTTAATCACATTAAAATGAGTTTTTAAACAAGTTATAAAATAAAATCATGCCATGTTGAGTTTATTCCAACTGGTTTGATAAATATATTAGTCGCATGGTGTTATATCACACTTTTAATAAATATATATGCATATGAATTTAAATTTTTAATTTATTTTTTAATCATATCATATTTATAATTATTTATATGAGTGTTAATTCTTAATATTCTTTTCAGATTCGATGCAATTAAAATAAATAAATAAACAAAAATTTTTATATTTAATTTATAATATAAAATTTTTTTTTTTTTATATAAATATTATATATTTTTATATTTTTAGAAGTGTTTAACATTATACATTTTAATGAAATTCATTTAAGTTACAACAATTTGTACATGAAATTATATAAACAAATATTATCTAATAATTTTTCTCTTACTAAATATAAATCGTAGATCCGTCCGCTATAGGGTCACTTGCAGCCTTTTTGTTGCCAAATATAAGTCTTTGAGGATGCACACTGCCTAGACAATGCACCTAAGCTCCCCCTCGTTTCGTTTTGCTATCTCGGTTTAGCCTTTTAAATAAACTTTTTTTTTTTAAGTAAAACGAATGAAAAAAAAGCCCCAAAAAAGCCTGACTGGTCAGCGAATGTTACGGCCCCATTTGGATTGCGTGCAGTGTAGTTGCAATAAAAAATATGCCAATTGTCGTGTTTCCAAATAAAATAATGGTGAGGTTAAAAAAATGTCAGTCATCTGGCCATTTTTGGTCCAGTTAATTACCGGCCGGTTAAAATTTTTTTTTCTCATTTTTATTCTTTAAGTTTTATTAATATGTCCAAAAAAAATCATTATAAATTTTTTATTTTTAATTTAAAAATTGTAAAATAAATTTGATAATTTAATATAATAAATAAATTTTAGTGTTTAATACATAAATAAATATTTTGAATTAATTTTATTATTTATTAATAAATTTTATAAATATTAAATAATTTAAAACTTTTATTATATATAATTTTTAATTTAATATCTTTAATGATAATTTTTTATTATAATTTATTTTATCATTATCATTATTTTTATATCTAAATATATATTTCATTTTAATTTTATTACAATAATAATTAATTTCATCTTCATTACTGTTTTTAATATCAACAAAATTAGTTTCACTGTCTATCTATAGTGATTGGCCGACAGATTTCTTCCATGCCACTTTTGGGGTTTACAAGCAAAAATTTCTTGGATTTCAGGCTAATTCTGTATGGACTGTGGAATTTGATTATTGAAAATAAGTTGAAATTACTTTTTATTTATTTATTTTTAATGCAATAAATTTAAAATAAATAAATAAATTATTCAGCTTCTAGTATCAAAATAAGATGTGGGTACTTCAAAAAAAGTCTAACAAGAGGTATGGTAAGATTCAAACCAAGACTTACATCGACGAATTTAACAATTGAGCAGGTGATAAGTCATTCTTTTTTTACTATGGCACATTGCTGACCCTGGTCTCTTCCAAGGTTTTTCATGTTGAAGCTGCTTGGAAACTGCTTTACACGGGAACTGTTGAAAGAACCCCATGCTTTTATCTTCCAAGATTGCTGAAACGTCAATTAACTGTGGTTAAGCCTGCCACTGTGAATCAGCATGTGCATAAAGTTGGGTGGAGTTTTCTGTTTATATTTTTGTATGGTTAAATCAGAATCCTTTGTTGTTTTACTTTTTACTGTTTTATAATATTTTCTTTTTAGATTTTATAATAAATGAAAAAAAAATTTAAATTAACCATACTTAATTTTTTTTATATAAAAAAATCGCAGCCTAAAATAAGAGTTAAAGATTGCAAAAACTAAACAAAATAATTTTTTTCTAATCATTTATACGTTCAAAATAATAGTAATAATACAAATCCACTTATTGGATGGCTTCTTGAACATAAAATACAAAATGAAATAAACCAGAGCCCTTGTTTATCACTTCTGGTTTGCCATAGCCATGAGCCATATTTGAGTTGTGATGGACGCTAGAGAACTACCCAAATTCTACTTTGACTAAAATGTTTAGCTGCAGCAGCAATTGCAGCCTCAGGGCCACTTGGTTCTGCAATTTCTATGCTGTCAAATTTAGCAGTTTTTGAGAATGAATGGCCGCATAAAGACAGCAACAACCTTAAAAATGATGCACATGAAGTCCTCTCCTTGTCTTTGCTCATCTTGGTTTAAGCCTGTTTAAAAACACTCTTTAGCAAAACAAAGGAAAACCCAACAAAGAGATTCAATGGACACAGAAGATTTAAATGCTGATTTGGCTAGGTAGATAAATACTATAATGTTTCGAGGCTTATAAAGCAAAAATTTCTAGGAGATCAAGCAAATTTTCTTATTGAAATTGATTGTTGAAGACAAAAGATTCTTACTATAGGTTGAAAACTTGAAATCACTCGGCCCTTTTGACCATTGCTTTCTGCTGACCCTAGGATCTTCCAGGAGCATTTACAGGTTGAGTGAAGTTGCTTGGAAACTGTCTTTGACAAATGTGTTGAAAAAACACCATGCTTGGCTTCCAAGGTTGTTGAAATTTAAGCTTGCCAATCTGAATTTTAGCATATACATAATGTTGTGTGGCGCTTTTTTTCTGTTCTACTAAGAAAGTAAATTCAAGGAAACTTCAATATGACAGCGACTTACTATAAAATTGATGTTTTGAAAAAAATTTTCTATCAGATATGAAAAATGCCTGGTCTATAATAGTAGGTAAACCTGTGTGGACCTTGGTTGTCCTATAATATATGTGATAAGATAACAGCTCATAACACCTAAGATTTCTCCTAAGGTCTCTCCACAATCTTTGTAAGACTTTCAGCAGTATTTTATGAGAACATCACACTAATTACAAGAATAATTATTCACCAAATATAGCTACCAAATATAGCTACTACAATTACTCTATTTGTATTTATTCTTAGCAACTATTGATGTATAAATATACAGTGTACAGGATAAATAACATACAGCCATTTTCATAAATTTCATTACCTTTATATGGTACCAGAGCCAACCCAAAGACCTCGGGCAGTAGTCATGGCAGAAATCTCATCCACAACGTCACAAACCAACCAGAACCAAACAACTCCTTCAGCCTTAATCCAAGTAGTCAGTAACATATCTCTTCCCAACACCTTGGTAACCTTCAACGTTGCCTCTCAAATCCCCTTTAAACTCACAGGCAACAGCACAT